GATGCACCCAAATTGGAGCACCCAAATACATAAAGCACATATTAACAAACATAAAGGGAAAAAAAATCAAGTCATACGATAATAGTAGGGGACTTTACCACCCCACTTAAATGAATGGATAGGCCATCCAGACAGAAAATCTAGAGGAAATAGTGCCTTTGAATGACACAACAGACCAAATATATACAGATATATACAGATCATTCCATCCAAAGCCAGCAGAATACACATTCTTTTCAATTGCACATGGAACATTCTCCAAGGTAGATCATGTTAGGCCATAAAACAAGTCTCAATAAATTTAAGAGGCTTAGTATCATATTGAGCAACTTTTCTAACCACAATGATATGAAAATGAAAATCAACTGCAAGAAAATCTGGAAAGAAAAAACATATGGAGGCTAAACAAAATGCTACTAACCAACCAATGGGTTCAACCAAGAAATCAAAGAGGAAATCAAAAAATACATGGAGACAAATGAAAATAAAAACATAATAGTCCAAAATCTTTGGGACATGGGGTGCCTGGGTGGCTCAGTCAGTTAAGCATCTGCCTTCGGCTCAGGTCATGATCCCAGGGTCCTGGGATTGAGCCCCCCGTCCAGCTCCCTGCTCAGTGGGGAGTCTGCTTTTCCCTCTGCCACTCCCCCTGCTTGTGTTCTCTTGTGCACACTCTCTTTCTCTGTCAAATAAATAAATAAAATCTTTTTAAAAAATCTTTGGGACACAGCAAAAGCAGTTGTAAGAGAGAAGTTTATAACAATACAGGCCTACCTCAAGAAATAAGAAAAACCTCAAATAACCTAATCTTATAATTAAAAGAGCTAGAAAATGAAGAACAAACAAAGCTGAAAGCCAGTAGCTGAGAGGAAATATTAAAGATTAGAGAGAAATAAATAAAATAGAGACCAAAAAATCCACACACAATAGAAAAGATCAATTAAACCAGGAGCTGGTTCTTTATTTTTTTTTAAAGATTTTATTTATTTATTTGACAGAGAACACAAGCAGTGGGGAGTGGCAGAGGAAGAGGGAAAAGCAGGTTCCCTGCTGAGCAGGGAGCCTGAGTTGGGGCTCAACTCCAGGACCCTGGGATCATGACCTGAGCTGAAGGCAGATGCTTAACCAACTGAGCCATCCAGGTGCCCCAGAACTGGTTCTTTAAAAAAAATAAACAAAACTGATAAAACTTTTAGCCAGACTCATCAAGGGAAAAAGAGGGACGACTCACAAAATCAGAAATGAAGAAAAAATAACAACCAACACCACAGAAATACAAAGGATTATAAGAGAATATTATGAAAAATTATATACCAACCAATTGGACAACCTGGAAAAAAATGGATACATTTCTAGAAACATAATCCTCCACAACTGATTTAGGAAGATAGAAAATTTGAACAGACCTGTTACTAGTAATGGAATTGATTCAGTAGTCAAAAACTCCTAACAAACAAAACTCCACACTAGACAGCTTCATATGCAAATTCTACCAAATATTTAAAGAAGAGTTAAACCTTTTCTTAAATGATTCTAAAAAATAGAAGAGGAATGAGAATTCTAAATTCATTCTATGAGGCCAGCATTACTGTGATACCAAAAGTAGACAAAGACACTACAAAAAAAATTTATGGGCCAATATCTCTGATGAACATAGATGCAAGAATCCTTAAACAAAACATTGGCAAACCACATTCAGTAATACATTAAAAGCATGACTCACCATGATCAAGTTAAATTTATTCCAGGGATGCAAGGATGGTTGGTATTTGCAAATCAATCAATAAGATACATCACATTAACAAGAGAAAGGATAAAAACCATATCACCATCTCAATACATGCACAAAAACATTTGACAAAATACAACATCCATTCCTCATAAAAATTCTCAACAAAGTGAGTTTAGAGGGAACATACCTCAACATAATAAAGGTCATATATAAAAAACCCACAGCTAACATCATACTCAGTGGTGAAAATCTGAGAGCTTTTACTCTAAGATCAGGAAGAAGAGAAGGGTGTCCACTCTTGCCACTTTTATTCAACATAGTACTGGAAATCCTAGCTGCAGCATTCAGACAAGAAAAAGAAAACACATCCAAATTGGTAAGGGAGAAGTAAAACTGTCATTATTTGCAGATCCATGAGACTATATATAGAAAACCCTAAAGACCCCATCAAAAAACTACTAGAATGGATAAATGAATTCAGTAAAGTTGTGGGATAAATAATATACAAAAATCTGTTGCATTTCTATACACTAATAATGAAGAAGCAGAAAGAGAAATTTAAAAACAATCCTACTTACAATTGCACCAAAAAGAATAAAATACCTAGGAATAAACTGAACCAAGGTGATGAAAGACTTGTACTCTGAAAACTATAAAACATGATAAAAGAAAGATGACACAAACAAATGGAGATCTTCCATGCTCATAGATTGAAAGAATATCATTAAAATGGCCATACCACCCAAAGCAATCTTCACATTTAACTCAATCTCTATTAAAATACCAGTAGCATTTTTCACAAAATTAGAAGAAAGAATCCTAAAATTTGTATGGAACCACAAAAGACCCCAAATAGCCAAAGCAATCCTTTTTTAAAGATTTATTTATTTATATTGGAGAGAGAGAGACTGGTGGGGAGGGGCAGAGGGAGAGAGAGAATATCAAGCAGACTCCCTGCTGAGCATGGAGCCCCATGTGGGGCTCAATCCCCCAACCCTGAGATCACAACCTGAGCTGAAACCAAGAGTCAGATGCTTAACCGACTGTGCCATCCAGGGACGCACCCAAAGCAATCTTGAGAAAAAAGAACAAAGCTGGAGGTATCTCATCAATTCCAGATTTCATGATATACTACAAAGCTGTAATAATCAAAACAATATCGTATTAGAAAAACAAAACAAAACAAAACAAAAAAACTCAGACACGTAACCTAGTCCAACAGAACAGATAGAATGCCCAGAAATAAACCCATGCTTATGTGGTCAATTAATCTACAACAAAGGATGCAAGAATATGCAATGGGAAAAAGATAATCTCTTCAAAAATGGTGCTATGAAAACTGGACAGCTACATGTAAAAGAATGAAATTAGACCACTTTCTTACACCATACACACAAAGAAACTCAAAGACCTAAATGCAAAACCTGGAACCATAAAGCCTCTGGAAGAAAACATAGGCAGTAATTTCTTTGACATCTGCTGTAGAAACAGTTTTCTAGATATATCTCCTCCAGCGAGGGAAACAAAAGCAAGAATAAACTACTGGGACTACACCAAAATAAAAAGTTTTTGTGACAGTGAAGGAAACAATCAACAAAATGACAAGGCAACTTACTGAATGGGAGGAGATATTTGCAAATGATATATCTGATAAAAGGCTAATATCCAAAATACTTAAATAACTTACACAAATTAACATCAAAGAACCCCACAAATAATCTGATTAAAAATGGGCAGAGGACTTGAATAGACCTTTTTCCAAAGAAGACCTACAAATAGCCAATAGACACATGATAAGATGCCCAACATCACAAATCATTAGGGAAATGCAGATCAAAACTACAATTAGATGTCACCTTACACTTGTCAGAATGACTAGAATAAAAAAGGAAAGAAATAAGTGTTGGCAAGGATGTGGAGGAAAAGAGACCCTAGTACACTATTGGTGGGAATGTAAATTGGTGCAGCTACCATGGAAAACAGTATGGAGGTTTTCCAAATAATTAAAAATAGAAATACCATATGATCCAGTAGTCCTACTACTGGGTATTTACCAAGATACATGCACGCTATGCTTATTGCAGCATTATTTCCAATAGCCAAGATATAGAAGCAACCTATATCTATCTATTGATCTATCTATCTACCAAATATTATTCAGCCATAAAAACTAATGAGATATTGCCATTTGTGACGACATGGATGGGACTGGAGGGTATTATCCTAAGTAAAATAAGTCAGACAGACAAATACCATATAATTTCACTTACATGTGGGATCTAACAAACAAAACAAGCAAAGAAACAAAAATACTAAACTCATAAATACAGAGGAACAAGTTGGTGATTGCCAAAGGGGAAACAATGGGCTAGGTAGTTATATCTGTTTTATCACTTTAGGGGATTAAGAGCTATAAACTTTCAGTTATGAAATATGTAAGTCATGGGGATGAAAAGTACAGCACAGGGAACATAATGAGTAATACTGAAATAATACTGTAATGCAACAGATGGTAATTACACTTAATTGTGGTGAGCACTGAGTAATGTATAGAATTGTTGAATCAATATGTTGTACACCTGAAACTAATATAACATTGTGTTAAATATACTTCAATTAAAAAAGGAATAAAGTGAGGGAAAATCAGTTTCATGCCTATCATCATTTACAATGAAAACGTATAGCAAGAAGACAGTGTTAATCAATTTCATCTACTTTTACTGTCCATGTAATGGAGGTGAGATCACCACTCTAATAGCAATATTTTATATTTGTTACCATTGCCTACAACATAACAAGGAAGAAAAGAAAGTGAAAGAAGGCCTCCATCTTCTCTACCCTCCAGATCCTGCTCTTCTGTATTATTGCTACAATAGTTCAATAATATTTTTATCATGTACCATTTTCCTTTAGTCAATAGTCTAGCAGATGGCCATATAGTACATTGTACAAATTTTCATAACAATTGTGTTTGCTTAGGTTAACAGCAGAAACGTGATCCATTTTATGTGTCCTGAGTCTCCAAATACATCTTTCCAAACATCAGGTGTTGCCTTTAAAATAAGTTACAATTTTGTGTTTCCTAAACTCTCCTGGTTTAGTTTTCATTATTGAATCAATTACATTTCTACAATTCTAGCATAACAATATTCCACACAAAGAATATTTATCATCTAACATATACTGTCAGTTATCTATAACATCTTCCTGTATTTTAATTGTAATGAAGAGTATAAAAATAGTGTTAATCTGTAAATGAACAACTTACTTGCTTTGTGTCAGATCAACTACAATGAGATCTTTTTCCAGAAGTACTACAACAGCATAAGGTTCTTGAAATTCTACGAGTAAAAAATAGAAAGTGGAAGTTTTCATATTTCATATTTTATAAAATCACCAAATTTTCATTTCCTTTATCTCCTTACAAATGTTATTTAAATGATTTCAGAAGACCAAAATATGAGCCAACGTAAGAAGTAACAAAGAGCACTTTGAAAAATACTGTTGTGTTTCTCAGACTTAATGTTTAAGATCATTATAGGGAATATGAAAATGAAAAGTTGAATAGGCATAGAGTTAAACATTTCTCAATAATCATGAGGTGGTGATAGCAGATTATTTGGAGAGTCTGTCACCTCCGTCTCACAAACAATTATCTTATTCTTCCATAACCTTCCATTTTAGATCTGATTTTATAGGTACAAGGAGATGTTCTAAGGAAATAGTAGTTCTGCCTTCCTGAGCTGTGATACATTTTCACCTCCCTATGAGAGCAACACTCCTTATACCAAAAAATTTAATTTCAATTCAATGTGATTTAACATGTACTTAAAGATATGTCCCTAAGCGTATATACCTCAAAAAGGCAAGGAATCTGAGGATAGTCTAAGATTTTCAAATTCCTAAACTTTAACCGCCCCCCTCCTTCTTTCAATATGTTCTAGCAACTATTCTCAGAACAAAGGATATATGGAAAATAAAATTGACAAGGTCCTTATTCTCACAGAGTTTACATCCCAGGGATGTATACAAACCATGAAGAACTAAACAAATAAGATAAATTCACAGAATAATGTGAGCTATGAAAAGAATTCTTTTCAAAGTTAATAGTATAAGAAATGACTTGTGGTTGGTGGGAGAGCACTGATTTAGCTATTGTGGTCAGGGAAGACACTGCTTTCCATCTATAATAGGGAATAACAAAGGAAAGGCACAGTTAAAGTGTTCTCAATTTAAGGAAAAAGTATTTACAAAAACATCTTACATACATGATATTTGATTCTCAGCTAGAACAGGTATTACTATTTTTCATTTCATAGAGAAAACTGAAGTCCAAAGAGATTATGAGATTGGCACAAATTTACAAAGCTAGTTAACTGAAAAAGCTGGAACTTTACCTTCTGATTCTAAATTCTCATTTATTTTCATTATTCCAGCAGTTTCTACTAGCTACCTTAAGTAAAGCTCAACAATCACTTGGTGGGAATTTTATTCAGAGTATTCAAGTCTTAGGTGGGAAACTGGAAAAGATGGCCTTCATAGTCCTTCACAAGCCTTTAGAGTCTTGAGAAGCTGTAGAACCTATCATATTTATAAGTCACATGAGAAAAACTAGAAACAGAAACCCCAAAACTGAGGAGTATACCCTTGTTTGGCATGTCTATGTGACAGTATGCAGTCTTCATACTGTTTGCCACCTAATCTGTTCTCAAATTGAGGCTTCTTCCACCTTTCCCTGATCTCTTAGAGCTGTTTTAAGTTTTCAACATTATTTCAGTACTTCTGAATTTAGGGTTTTTAGGGTTTGGGGTTTGTTTGTTTGTTTTTTGGTTTAGTTTTCAGTTGAAGGAACACTGGAGTTCTATACTATTACATTTTTTCTTTGTCTTCTCTCCAGGGCAATCAATGATTGGGAAGCAACTGCTACAAAAATAAAATAGCTGAGACACTAGCATGAATAAGCAAAATTCATAATCATTTTAGGTAGTTATATCTATTTTATCACTTTAGGTAGGTACATCTGTTAGATTAGTATTGTTTCTTTTCAAATAATAAAAACTGGTAGCAAAAGTTTCACCTTTGTAGAAGTACCTGGTGTACTGTAGTAATCTCTGAATAAAAAGATTTCCTTAGGAGTCAGTCAGTATTAGGTTCAATTTTGTGTCTATTATTTATTAACAGTTTGATCTTAAGCAAATTCATTAACTTATTAGCTCAATTATATTAATTCAATTTCTTTATCCATTGATATGGCAAAATAATAACTACCTTAGACTATTATGAAGATTAGATGTATATGAAGATGTTTAAGGCAAAGCCTGGCACATAGTACATGCTCAATAGATGCCAACAGTATCACTTCCTCTATTAGATTGGTTTATTTTTGAGCAGGCTCAGTATTTTAACCTTAGCCCCCTACAGGTAAAAAGCTCTATAACAATTACTATTTCTCTGAAGAGAAATGCATTAGTTATGATGCTTGTAGAGGACCAGATACAGTTAAATGTAAATGTGAAATTGATGAATTCTGAGTACAGTTACTTAGTTACTCTGGACAATACCCCCTGAGATAAGAGGCATTTGTGTTCTTTGAAAAGCAAGTTGAATTGAATTGTCAGATGTCACAAATGATTTATCAATATTAAAAACTGTTAATAAATTTATTTGTGTAACATATGCGTAAGATTTATCACTATGTGGCTGCAAAGAAGAATGAAGTTCCATATTTGCTAGTATGGAATCATACTCAAAATACACTAAGTGAAAAAAAGTGTAATATGGAATAGCACATGGAATATGTTCTCATTTGCACAAAAAAGAGATAATGTATACATAGATAAGTACACTTAGGCATATGCATAAACTTTTTGGGGAAATACATAAACTTAGAAATAGTCGCTTCTGGAAGGGCAGTAAGTTTTCATTATATACTAATGTGGATTGTAGGATCTTTTCTGTCGCTTTCATGTATTATTGTTTTAGCCAGAAATAGTTAATAAAATACATTTATATTTTACTGAGTAAAGTATTTCTCTTAGCTCCTGACAAATAATAATTCCATTGTCATTATCACTACTCTGAAAAACAAAGACATATATGTGGCTTGGAAGTGATTAGACATAGTTATAATATATTTATAATTTACTTAATATTATTAGAAATTATCCTAACATTTCCACTGATGTGTAGAAACTTATACAGACACACACACACACACACATAAAAATGTGTGGTTGCAGAGATCAAACACTATCCCAGTCTCTATTACTGGCACATATATTTTTCTCTAAGCTCTTTTATAGGGGGCATTTTCCTAAATTCAGCTTTTGGTCGTCTGTTTGTTCTTTGTTCCTTTATCATTCATTCTCATAACTCCAAAGAACATCTATATTCTGATAATTCATAAATAAATATTAAAGACCTTTTCTTTCTCTTTTTCTGCTGACTCTACTGACTTATAATCAGACTTATCTTCTTCTCTTTCCAAAAACTGTTATTATTGCATATGAAACCATTATTCTTTTTTTTTTTTAATTTTTATTTATTCATTTGAGAGAGAGAGAGAGTGAGCATGAGCAAGGGGAGGGGCAGGGGCAGAGGGAGAGAGAAGCAGGCTCCCTGCTGAGCTGGGAGCCCTGACACAGGGCTCAATCCCAGGCTGATTGAGCCACCCAGGCACCCCTGAAACCACTATTCTTAAAATATGTTTGCTTTAACTCATCTGTCATGTCACTCTCTAAACCTAACTGGTGACCAAATTCAATGGGTTTCCTCTTTCCATTCCTACAGGCAGCCCCGTATTTCAGATCTTGACCATTTTAATGAACATTGTCACAAAAGCCTCCCAGCTGGAATCTGGAATTTAAGATTTCAATGTCTGTTCAAACCCATAAACTCCTTTTTGGTAAATTTTACTAAAAGCATTGCTTTCTTTCACCTTAATATTTTCTCAAAATTCTTCTGTAGTTCCCTATTTCCAAATACCTCTAAAAGGCTTTCAATTTTGGGCGCCTGGGTGGCTCAGTTGGTTAAGTGACTGCCTTCGGCTCAAGTCATGATCCTGGAGTCCCGGGATCGAGTCCCACATCGGGCTCCCTGCTCAGCAGGGGGTCTGCTTCTCCCTCTGCCCTCTTCCCTCTCGTGCTCTCTGTCTCTCATTCTCTCTCTCAAATAAATAAATAAAATCTTTAAAAAAAAAAAGGCTTTCAATTTTTTCTCTAAGTTGATCTCACTCTAGCAAACCTTACAAATTCTAAAACCTTTACTCAATATCCTTTTCAAATGCCAAGTCATTCTTCAAAGTCTACCTAAAGCTTATTTTTCCATGAAGCTTTGTGAGAATATTTTAACTATTGACTATCTTACTAGCCTGTGAATTAGTATATTATTTAAACTCTGACCCATATAACTCAGCACTTAAGTGTTATATTTTTTAAACTTAAGTCATAATTATCTCTCTCATCCAACTAGATTTTATGTGATTTGACATCAGAGATCAGTTTCATACTTCATCGGTATTCTCAATAAATCCTTGTAGTACTGAGACCATAGAAGCATCCAATAAATATTTGTTGATTAATTAACAACACAGGTAACTTGTCTGTCCCAGCAACTCTGGAAATAAAGTGCCTCATTGACTGTTATTTCATATTAATTTATCCCATCTTTAAATATGAAACTAAAGAATTTAAATCAAATTAATACAGTTGTAATAAAACAATTTATAGATCTTCATAGTTACAAAGTGTGCTCATTTTGGCCTTCCAATAGTCATGTGGCATTATTATTATTCTCTTTCTAAAAATGATAAATCTAACTCATAAAAGTAAAATGATTTACCCAAGGTCACCCAGCTAGTGAATGACAGAGCTAAATCATAAAACCAAATACTGTGCCTCCAAGTCTAGTATTCTTTCTCTCATATATGTTCCCTCTTGAAATTGTAGTTTTATATATATATGTACATACACACATACATACTATGTTGTTTTAATCATAAACTCATATTTTGCTTTTTATGTTTCACCCGTCTCAGTTTTTAGATTACTAATATATTTCATTATTATTAGATTTCATTATACAGTTTGCACATAAGTTTAGTTTTTATGTTTACAAAAGGTCTTTATATTCAGGATGCCTCTCTCCTCCCAAAAGCCCTTCTAAATTATTCTCAAAATTGAAATAAATCACTAACCACACATCAGCAATCCTAGAATAATCAGAGGTGCTGCAGTTGCATCTGAAGCAAAGCCAGATGTGAAACAGATGCACTACCACCAGAGTTATAGATCACTGATATCAGGTAAGTGCTTTAACTTTGATTAGTTTTGGAATGGGATGGGTGGAGCTGGTCTAGGAGAGGCTATTAGGAGACCTCAGTTTCCCCAAGTGATTTCACCCCGGACCCCTATCGGACCCTCCCAGCTCAGCTTCCACCATCCTTATCAAAGTTTAAAGCACTTACCTGATATAAGAACCTGAAACTCCAGCATTGCTGTACTACATCTGTCTTACTTCCAGTTTGTCAAGTAGGTACAGTTGCAGAACCTGCTCCAGCACCTGTAGCTCACAGTGTTGTACCACAGTGGATGTCAGCTGCCAAAACTAAAAATATTTAAGCTTAATTTCATTAGGAACTTACTTCAAAAATGATTTTCAACATTAATAGTTTCATTTTTTTTTTTTTACTTACCATTTGGATAGGGTGTTTCACATAAAGTAAGAAATTCAACAATAGGATGATCCATTTCAAGCACTGTAATTGCTTTTCCATGCATGATGGTTAAACTTGGTCTTCTGCAAGCTTTGTCATAGGACAATCCACCAGAAAATATTATGAATGGTTCACTACATAGAAAAAAAAGTTAATGAGATTGAGAAGTCCTTTAAGATGATACAACATCATAGGACTGAGCTAATGAAAAATAAGTTTGGTAGGGATTATACACAACACAATTTGACAGCAAATATCTTTCTTAGTCCAAAATATCTCACCCAAATGACTTACTATTCTACCATTTCCCTTTTTCTGGTTGTGAATTCTTACCATTAAAATTACTAATGAATCAGTCTAAAGGTGATGAGGTATGTTGGGGAAAAGGTAGAGAAGTTGGAGGGAAATAGAGGTACTCATTGAGTCAAAAGGATATCTCCACATGTATTAGTTGATTCCCAAAACTCTATATCACTACCATTAGAATATTAAGCTATGTTAGTTGATCATATTAACCATTTGGCATGTGGGGTCCAAAATTCCTAAGGGATAAAGGAGGCAAATTTCAATATAAAATTAAATGCAACAATAGCAAGCCCAGAGTGGTAGAATGTAACATGAAAATTCTATGTAATGGAATATCTGTGGGAAAGGGTTATGATAAAAAGATGGACAAAACTAAGACAAAAAATGTGATCTTCCCAATTTTACCTTGGGTCAGCCAGTTCTATTTAGCTACTAAAACTAACATCAAACTTTTTATGCCCTGTTAGTTGCAAGATACAATTAGATAAATTGAGCGGGGCTGAGATGACTATAAAATATTACAGCTGTCAGAAAGTTATGAAAGTGTCATAACTTTTCACTTTTCTCAAATTAACACCTGTATCCCTAGTTTATGTATATAAAAGAAAATATGTTGATGAAGTATATTTAATAAGTAAATACCAAACTGAAAGTATTCTCCAAAAATTTTTTTAAAAAGAACTAGACACTTATTTTACCAAATTCTTTGAGAACATATGCTTCTCTAAATAATTCATTTCCATCTATTCACTAAAGAATCTACTAGTTTCTAAAAATCACTTTATAAATTTCCCTTTCTCTTTCATTTTGTACTGTACATGGTACCAAACATTACCAATGGGACATTTGCTAATCTTAGCCTGGCTATATAACAAGAACAAAAAAGAGCTTTTTAAAAAGTTTCCATTAAAACTTACATATAAAGTATCTATACTGATTTTTATTTATAATTCTGTCTTAATGTTTTAACATAAATATTTGAGTTGTAAGCTAAATAAGAAAAAATACTCTAATTTATTTTCCTTGAGTCCTATATCAGTTGATGTTAGTCTTGCTTCAGTAATTTGGCATACTAAATTACCAACCTAGTAATGGTTGTACTAAGCAGCAAGTTTTTTCCTATAAAATAAATGCTTGTATTATTAAGATTTTTCCAGATTTAAAAGTCATTTCTAATGAAATGAGTAAGTGTTTTTGCACCTTTTTGTGTTGCTTTGTTTTACAACAAACGTCATGATTTAGAGAACATATTATCTTTTCACACATATTGAGGTTAACTATCTGCTCCAAATGTTAATAAGGTCATAAATATCTATTTTTTCCATGTAAAAGGGGGTGAAGTTAATCTCATCTCCCCTACTGCTAAAACAAATATAGGGTAAGAAGCAATTTACTCTCCCCTTTTTTTTGGTAAGCACACTGGAAAATATGTCCTTTCTACTATTGGAAGAAAGCAAAACCTTTTCTGCTTTTATTATGACTCCGCATCAGACACTGGGTCTAAAGTTAATTGCTGATATATATGCACTTCTTTGTAAACTATTGAATGACTGAACAAAAAGTTAATTCCTCAGGAAATGCTCAGGAAACCACTCATGAATAATTGCATTAGATACTTAATTATCACATTAAATTCTCATAAGTATAATCCTCATTTTATTAATGAGGTTAAGTAACAACTAAGCAGAAAAACCCAAAAGAAAACAGATCTGTCAGATTTCAAAGTCTATTTTCCTAAACAGTGATCTATACTGCCTGTAGCAGATAACTCTGGGATTAATGCAGGTGAACTTGTTTAGAGTCAAGCAGCTATGGAGTGGAAGGATAAAGATTCAAATCCAGACTCTAAAGTACATTTTTCACTTCTAGTCTAATGTTTCTAAAACTGTGGAATATAACTTAAAAAATGCTCTGAAAAAAAGTTTTTTTAAAAAAGATTTTATTTATTTATTTGTCAGAGAGAGAGCACAAGCAGGGGGAGAAGAAGGAGAAGCAGGCTCCCTGCTTAGGACCCTGGAGTCATGACCTGAAATGAAGGCAAACACAACCGACTGAGCCACCCAGGCATCCCTGAAAAATAGTTTTTAATTTAAAATTTGATAGACACTTGCACACCATATCTCCCTTTTGAAATTTTATAATTCAGGCCATATAGCAAAGAAAGATTCTAAGAAACTATACAGTAAAGAATCCGATTTACTTTTATATAACCCAGATTTTCTTAGATCTCTCAAATATATTTGATTACAGATTCCTATTTTTCCATGAATACAGTTAGTGATCAAAGGAACACAATTTGATAAATGTTATACCACACTAAACTGACTCCTTTACTACAAGTGTATCTGGGCACACTGATCAGATGGATTATTACAAAAGAAATAAATAACTATATAATTAACAATGTCTTCATACATAAAGAAAACATCAATACAAATTAAAAATTAGTTTTTAAAGATTTTATTTGTTTATTTATTTGACAAAGAGAGCCAGAGAGCACAAGTGGGGGTAATATCAGAGGGAGAAGGAGAAGCAGGCCCCCCGCTGAGCAGGAAGCCCAATACAGGACTTGATCCCAGGACCCTAAGATCATGACCTAAGCTGAAGGCTTAACCAACTGAGCCACCCAGGCACCCCCAAATTAAAAATTATTGACAACAACTTGGATAAATCCTAAAGATATTTTGTTGAGTGAAAGAAGCTAGGATCAGAAGGTTATGTAATATATAACTGCATTTATATGACATCTTAAAAAGGCAAAACTACAGTGATAGAGAACAGATCAATGGTTGTCAGGGGTTAGAAGTGGAGAAAAGTGCGACTATAAGGAACAACAGGAAAGAAATTTGGGGGTATGGAAATGTTCTGTATTCTTATTGTGGTGGTGATTTCAGGCGTCTATACATGTGTTAAAATCCACAGTATTGTACAGCAAAAGAAAAAAATATTTTACTGTATAATTTGTAAAATAAATGTAGAAAAAGCATTAAAATTTTTTCTCAATGAAGGCAACAAGATTAAGCAATAAACCGTGCAACATAATATAGTACATACTAAAATAACATTTGTTGAGTATTTATGATGTTCTGGGTATTGTGTGAAGAAGTTTACTTGCATTATTGTATTGAATCCTTATGATATCCCGATGAGAAAACTACTACAATTCTTACTTAACAGATGGATATGCTGAGGCTTAGAGAACTTTACATATGAAGTCTATCAATAGGTGACCATGATAGAAAGGGATTAAAAGACTAGCAAAAAGTAATTTTTATTAATTACAGAAACTTGATAATGTTAGTGGTAGCAGGTAGAGAGATCATTATTCCTTTTTCTGAATAGAATAAATTTATTAAGCCTAGAGGCCATTGGTGTTGGGGCACCAATAAGCAATTTGGTGATTGGAGACCAATGATTCCTAAGCAGAATGGTTGTTTATCCCTAGAAATATAAAGCCAGTTTGTGAATGGTTGATCTAAGATAAAAACAGAAAACATACCCTTGCATCTGCTACCTATGCAATCTTTAAGAGACTCTATTGCTGCAGCATATTTGGTAGAACTCTTCTTAAAGTTCTTGCTCCTGCCACAGCCATCCCAATTTTTGACTTCACAAAGTTTACTGTGCACTAGATGGAGCAGAAATATAGCTCTTTGTTGTCACTTCCAAGCTATGGCCCATTTTGCTGTCACAATACCTTTTAGTACTCAACTTTGGTGCTCCTCTGCTGTTTAGTCTCCTTGTGTTCTGAGAGGTGGAACCACTGCTTTTAAAGGTGAATTTTCTAATATAGTAGTAATCACAACAAACACACACAATGTACTAAAGTGCACTGTAAGTGGGATGACAGTAATTATGACCAATAATATATAATTATTTCACATTAGAAATCTGAAGAATTATTTCTACAGAAAATTGGGTTACCAATTACTAGAATAAATCATTAAATTAGGATCAGTGGAATAATTTCAATAATGTGAAATATCATTGCTTTGATGATGACAATAATAACTTCTTTTTATCAAGAAATCCACTATGTGCCACTCATCAAACTTATGACATTACAAACTTCATGCATAATTTCATTTATTCTTCAGAAACATCACAATGAGATAGGTATAATTGATGAGGAAATTAAAGTTTAAAAGAGTTAATTAAAAATTTCAAGGTCACATAGCTGTCTTACCCCATATGCCAAGGATCTTAATAATTATTTTACATTGCCTTGACTTGAATTCCTGATTCCTAAAGTATCTTCTCTTCACCTTCACCCTTTCCTTACTTTTTGTGTGCCACCGTCCTATTATCCCTTAAGCCCATCTCAGGTATCCTCTTTCCTAAGAAGAAATTTACTGATCTCTCCTCACCATTCTCTTCCCCTTTCTCTCTAGGCTGGGTTAGGTGTCCTTTTGTTGTGCTCTCATAGCATATCTCTATAAAAGCACCTCACATGTTACATGGAAACCACTAGTTTATGGCCTTATTTCTCCTACTAGACTATCACAGATTCAAAAGCAGGCAGTATTCTCTTTCATTTTAGTACACCAAACAAGTTGCACAGTGTGTACTAAGTAGTAATAACTAATAATATGTGTACATAATAACAATATATGTATATATGTAAAATGTTTCCATATATAAACATATATAATAACATATGTAAAATGTGTCCATCCATAATTAAATTTAAAATGTTTTAATACTTTAATTATAGTAATATAAAACTGGTCATTTTTACTACTTATGTTTAGTAACATTTGGCTGGACTAAGGAGGTATTGATCTATTGTGTGTATGTACACACATATATATGTATATATATAAACTACTGTAAAAATATATACATAAAAATATATATATATAAATATATACCATATGATAGTTTATATATATATATGAACTAACACATTAAAAATGGCCATTATTTTATACTATTAAATCTTTCAAAGAGCAGGTATAAACAAACATTAAATGCATCTATAATACTGAATACATTCCAGTGTGAACATGTAAGTAATATAACATAGAATTATCCAATTTAGAGTTAAAATAAAATTAAGGTTTAGGTAAGATTTGTAATTATGGTAATTCTAGAAGAGAATATTGCCACTAATAATTATTGTAAGTAAAAAGAACATTCTTGATTTATAGGATAAAGCTGCTATATATACATGATAAAATTTTATTGTATATTATTATTCAATTTAATTTTCTATAACTTAAAATTTAGTACTATTTTATTATGCTAATATATATAACTGTTTATCTTTTCAACTAACTATAATCTTTCCAAGTTCAGAATGTGAAATCCTAAAGTACAGAGACTTGGTTATGTATTTAATTCTTTCATGTGCAATACCAATAGGTATGCTTTTGCTTAATAATATTAAATGATTGCTACTTGTAATGTGCACGGCCCAAAAGCCCGACATTGTTAAAATTAATGTACATAATACTCATCTGAATATTCATAGAAAGTTAAAATAATTAGCAATTGCTATTATAATATTCATAATAATATCATAGGTACTCCTATTAAACAATAAGGAAGATCAATGAAGAGGATTTAGCCAGTTAATATACTTATATAATTATAAGAAACTTTAAGTAATACATGATTATTAAAGGTTATTTGCCATTCTTGTCTGTTTCTTATATATTGTCCCATATCACCCAAAGTAAAAAATGCATACCTGTTTCTACAGGTCTTGTATTCTACTTTAAGAATTGGTTTACAAGATTCAGATTTTCTTCCTTCTCTTTGACTTTTTCCTAAAGAAAGAAAAAGGATTTTGTTAAATCATATTTAAATTCTACACATCCATGACAACTTCAAAAGTCTGACTAAAAGAATATAAAGAAAAAATAAGGTAATTATGTGTTTTTCATAATAGGATAAATACAATTCTATGCATCCTAACATATTTGTTGAATCCTAATAACTGACTGCTATATAAGGAATAAAGTTATTTGTAAACTTATCATATTCGTAAACTTATCAAACATACACTTTCTCCATGTATAAATCTAGTCTCATATAAAGTTATTTTAATTATTTAAGTTTTAAGATTACTTTAGAATTAAAGACACATACACATGCATACTTATCTGCATAATGAAATACATAATTATGAAAATCCATACTAGGCCCATTATAGATTTTATCTATGATACAAGCAAACCCTTTTCTCATGCAGAAAGACTTGCCATTTAAAACTTATGACAGACTATCAAAATCATTGCATTTTCATCAAATTCTTTTAACAGAAAGCCCATTAGACAATGAACAAAGATGGTATATTTCAATGATGTTCTATATTTGCATAAAAATAGTTTCTTCTAGGGAAAGGTTATGTTGTTTAGACTCCACGGATTTTGAAAAATGATCAAAAAGAGTATGAAATGGAAGTAAAGCTACTTATGCATATAACATCTTTCAGTTGTGATTTTGCTTATAATTCTATGTCTCATTTTGATAAAATTGACATTTTTGTGATATGTTTGTTTCTTTTTTATTTTAATAAGTACCCTTATTTATTCTTGTACTGCCACAACTGTTTATAGACACAGATACCTATTATGTAGATAGACGTTTATGTGCATTTAAGTTTAAATTTTCAGGATAGCTTCAGAATGGCACAATCATAATCCAAATAGGATGTCAAAATAATTTAATTTGTTTAAAGGGCAGGGTATCAGCATATAACATACCTTATCTGCTACATGGCATGCTTTCTGAATTTGCTTTCTCTTTCTTTTACCCTATGTCAACTAAAAAAGCAATCAATAACAAAATATTGGTCACAATAATTCACACTGTAAAAAAGATTTAAAAGTATCTGTATTACATATAAAAAGGAATTACTGACATTATATGTAGATCATGATGCCTTACAAAGAGAGAACTTTGGCTCAGGGACTCACTCTGAGCAGTGGTCTTAGGGGTAAGAAACAGCTGGTTGGTGATTCCTGGTTTGGGTAACATGTGGGAACAGAGAGAACTGAAGGAAATAACAACAAGGAAAGAGACCCATTTTCCTCAGTTGATATATTTTTGATCCATTTCTTCTCTAATAATTGCCAAGCTATTAATCAAATCAAGACAGTATATTTGCTGTTGTTTATATATATGTGTGTGTGTGTAAGCAATTACAATTTTTCAATCAGTGCACATTAGTATTATCCACTAATTTCAGTAAAAAGGAATAATACCTAAATTAATTAATTAATGATTTACTTCAATTTCCAACTCCAATAATTAATTTTTGGCTGAAGGTTTTCAACTTTGATTATGTTCATTGCCTGTCAATAATTGAAATATATTTATATGTTATGTAAAAAATTGTTATAAAAATTGCATTTATTGCTACTCTTTATGTTCAAAGTACTATACTAAATGGCACAGTAAAAAGAAGTAACTGACCACCAGGAAACTTAAAATTTACTAGTTTAAGCAAAGCATATATAAAACTGACAATATGAGGTACCATAAACAAATAAGTGATTGATAGACTTGAAGTGTTGAGAATAGTAGGAGTACATGAAGTAGGAGTTAAGAATATTATGGTTTCACTTTATGATAGAAAAATTTACAGATTTTTGCAGATGATTTTCTAGAAGCTAGATTAAGCATTAAAAGATAGAACTTGGGAGTTCTGGTCCAAGATGGTGACACAGGAAGACCCTGAACTCACCGCCTCCATAGACACACCAAATCTACACCTACTAATAGAGCAATTCCTCCTGAAGAAGAACTGAGAGCCCATTGAACAGCTTCTGCACAACAAAAGATAGAGACCACAAAGAGACAGCACAAGAGAGGGAGACACAGTAACAAAGGGAAACTCTAACCCCAACACTGTGAACTACAGTGGGGAGAGGACTAAGGGACCATGAGCAGACTCATCTGTTCTGGGGCATAGAAAAAAGTTACGGTTTAAAGGCAACTAGAATATGATGGAACCAGCCAAATGGAAGAGCTGAAAGGTTCTTAAGGCTGGCGGGCTGGCAAGCACCACTGTTTATGATACCCCTTCTACCTTGAAAATGAAGGTGGGAGCAGGGTCCAGGTGCCATAGTTGGCCTCCCACCTCAGCAAGCCTTGGGCCCCTAGCCCATGCCAGCCCTTGATGGCCTGGATCACTGAAAAAAAGCCACAGTTTAAAAGAGCAACTACCATATAAAAGGTCAACCCTTAGAACTTCACCAAATGGTGAGGGAGCTGCTGAAACTTTCTCCAGCCTGGCAAGCACCATGATTTACATTCCCCTCTACACCTTGATAGCATGAACAAGAGCAGGATCCAGTCACCTTAGCTAGCCCACCACCTCAATATCCCTGGGCCCCTAGCTCACACCAGCCCCAGCCATCCCACCAAGACGCCCCAGTGCAGTGCACACTGGAACACTCCTTGTCAGTGCTCACTACAGCTCAAGCCTTTTTGCCAAAGTGACACATGTGCAAAGCACTCCAGAATACTCCAGGCCCATATAATGTTGACTCCAGACAATTCACCAGGCAGCCCTTGCATGGAGCACTCCAGAAACCCCTGGTCCATGCTCACTTTGGCTCCAGCTTCTCCACTAGGGCTTCCTCTGCATGGAGCACACTGGGAACCCGTGGGTCACACTCTGCCTCAGTTCCAGCCTCCCCACCAGGATTCCCCCTGTGTGAATCACTCTGGGACACCCCAACTTGCACTAACTTCAGTTTTAGCCATCCTGCCAGGGCACCTTATGCATGGAGAGCCCAAGGATGCCCCCACCCCCAACCCTGCCTGGCACCCACTTCAGGTTTAACTATCCTGCTTGGGTGTTCTTTGTGTGGAGAGCCCCAGGACATCCCAGCTTGTACCCACTTTGGTTTCAGCCATCCTGCCAGGGTGCACTCTGTGTAGAGTCCCAGGATTCCAGCCCCCCAACACAGCTTACACCCACTTCAGCTGTCCTGGAAGGTCACTCTCTGTGTGGAGACCCTAGGACTACCCTGGCCCATACCCATTTCAGTTTCATCCATACCACCAGATTTCCCAGCACAGAGTGCCCCATGACCCATAGTACACAACAGCCACTGCTCCAAATAAACAACCAAAGTCACCAGGCACATACAGTCTACACAGGGGATGACAATACACAAGATCATTCCTTCAAATTTAGAAAAAGTAGCTGTTGCACCTAACTCACAGAAACAAAGAAAGTCAAGTAAAATAAGGAGACAGAAGAATATGTTCCAAATGAAAGAACAAGACAAAACCTCAGAAAAAGAACTAAATGAAACAAAGATAAGCAACCTACCTGATAGAGTTCAAAAGTAATGGTCATAAAGATGCTCAATGGACTGGAGAAAAGAGAGGATGAACTCAGTGAGAACTTTAATATGAGATTAAATATATAAAAAACCATCATTAGTGTTGAAGAATACCATAACTGAAATGGAAAATCCACTAGAGGTAATCAACAGTAGATTAGAAGGTGCAGAAGTGATCTGAAAGACAGGGTAATGGAAAACACCCAGCCTGAGCAGCAAAAAAGAAAAAAAATAATTGTAAAAAATGAGCATAGGTTAAGGAATACCTTGGACAACATCAAGTAAACAAACATTCTCATTATAGGCATCTCAGAAGGAGAAGAGAGAGAAAAGGGCACAAAACTTATTTGAAAAAAGTGATAGCTGAAAACTTCAATAACCTGGGGGAGGAAACAGACATCCAGGCTCAGAAAGCAGAGTTCCAAACAAGATTAATCTAAGGAGGTCCACACCATGACACATAATAATTAAATATGTACAAGATTAAAGATAAAGACCTAAATGTGAGACAGGAAATCATCAAAATCCTAGAGGAGAATACAGGCAGCAACCTCTTTGGCCTCAACTGAAGCAACTTCTTACTAGGGAGGCCAGGGAAACAAAAGCAAAAATGAATTATTGGGGCTTCATCAAGATAAAAAGATTCTGCACAGTGAAGGAAACAATCAACAAAACTAAAAAACAACCTGTGAAATGGGAGAAGATATTTGCAAATGATATATCTGATAAAGGATTAGTATCCAAAATCTATAAAGAAATTATCAAGCTCAACACCCAAAAAACAAATAATCCAGTTAAGAAATGGGCAGAAGACATGTATAGACATTTTCCAAAGAAAACATCCAGATGGCTAACACATGAAAAGATGCTCAACATCACTTATCATCAGGGAAATGCCAATTAAAACCACAGTGAGATACCACCTCACACCTGTCAGAATGACTAAAATTAACAACACAGGAAATAAGAGAATCCTCCTACACTGTTGGTGGTAATACAAACTGGTGCAGCCACTATGAACAATAATATGGCTGTTCCTCAAAAAGTTAAAAATGAACTACCCTATGACCTATTATGTATTCACCCAAAGGATACAAAAGTACTGATTCAAAGGGACATATGCACCCTGATGTTTATAGCAGCATTATCAACAATAGCCAAATTATGGAAAGAACCCAAGTTTCATTGACCAATGGATAAAGAAGATATGGTATGTGTGTACACACACACACACACACACACACACAATGGAATATTACTCAGCCATCACAAAGAATGAAATCTTGCCATTTGCAATGACTTGGATGGAGCTAGAATGTATTAATGCTAAGCAAAAGAAGTCAGAGAAAGACAAATAACATATGATTTCACTCATATGTGTATTTTAAGAAACAAAACAGATGAACATAGGGAAAAAAAGAGAGGGGGGAGGCAAACCATAAGACTCTTAACTATAGAAAACAAAC